TCTCAAGGCATCCTTGAGGCCAGGGGTACTGCCAGAGGCCCCCAAAAGCAAACGGATTTCAAATGACCTGGGAAGACATTTGACATCAAAATAAGACATATCACAGGCCAGTACAGACTGAATTCAAAATACGGCAACTCTGCGGGGGGTCTTGCCGCAAACCTCTTATAGTGGTATATTGTCCTAAGGAAACTTTCTCAATAAGGGGTTGGGGAGGGGGGGGGGGGGGCATGAGCAAGTATTGACATTATTGAAGAAGAGCTACCGTATCAAAACCTTTTAAACCATGTAAAAGGTTGGCTCGTTATAAAAGTACACTTTCTTTTGTCTTGCACTTTTATTAATAAAATAGATAAAACAAATCAAATGGAGTTTTACTTCCTACTTTCTGCGCGTACATGTCAGTCTATTTTCAGATCTTTGTTAAATACTTCAACATCTCATCAGAGAATGCACAATTGATATTTCCTTAACATACTGTAACGCCATGGTTACACAATGAACAACGTGCTTTCAACGTCCAATAACTAAATCTGATCTGAGAAACAAACATTGCTAATAAAAATCAAAAATTACAACCTGTACTTACACTTGAGAGAACTGGCCAGTATATGGGGAATTATTCTGTAAACCGAAAGCAAAATCAATAGAGAAATATCTTTCTTTCAGGACCTTGATTTGACAGTCTTTCCGGGATAAATCTTCATAGATCGACTCATCTCCGAGGAACACATACTCCTCGTTTTGGACCAGGTTAAACTGTTCCCCTATTGTTTCACTCAACACGGCGGGGTTTGTTAGGTTAAACTGAACTATACCGTCCCATATCGCCTTGAATCGTGTATTTGATGTATTCTGAAAACATATATATCGTTATGAATGAAAAGATTAGATTAGATCACCAAACTTAATTACAAGAACAACAGACGGCTGATGAAATTTAGAATGGTGTAAATTGATTCTATCAGTGTCCCCGATACACAAAAAAGTTCAGAAGACATCTTTTCAATCCTTTTAAGTCGACTGTCACTGGCACAGATGAAAGAACAGACACATAGCTTCTTCAAAGAACACACAAAAATTTGTCAAGGTGTTCATGGAGAACAAAACACAAAATTTTATTGACCATTGATAGAATATAATAAACATTTAGCCATTTTTCCAATTGGTAATGCAGTCTTTCAAACTACTCCGTATTCAGGGCTCTTAATTCTTATCGAATAAGCCATCACCCTTCGACAGACTTGTAACGACAGGAGAGACCACAAATTTAAACAATTGCTAGCGCTACTTGCTGCATGCTCGCGTAAGATCAACTCCTGTCAAATACAATATTTTGATCAACTTACGCTGAATAAGGGTATAAAAAGGGTATTACCCATACAACCCCATCTATAATTATTCTGCTCTAGCATCTCGTCCAGGGTTTCGAAAGGGTACTGCTCTATATTGACTGCCAGGGTAGCAATAAGGGTCCCACTGTAAGACGCTGCCAGTACGATACAGAATACCCACCAACACCCGACAAACATTCGACCAGCAAGATCTTCAGGTAAATTTCCACAACCTGTTAATAAAGGTACTAGAGAAATAGGGTTCGTAGCGAACACTCCCCGAATTCAGAATTGATTTTAAAAATAATGTTATCAAGTGTTATTGTTCACAGTGGCGTTTCTACGGGGCCCCCACTTTCAATTTGTACATTTTACATAGTGAAATAGTGAAATGTGCCCCCCTGGAAAATAGGGCCCACGCCAGATGCTTTCTAGAAACGCCATTAGTTGTCAGGTGCTAAGAGTGGTATAAAACTGAGAATTTGTGAAGTCCAATTGTAAACCCACTATGGCCAATATTGTTGCTACCATAGTCTTGTCGAATGTCACACATGATACACATATAAAAAAAACTAAAAAATCAGGATAGACTAAATTGAAGCTAGGAGTGTACCTCTCGGCGATTCATTTCAGTGTTGATGCTTCAATGAGCATACCCCATGTTAAACAAGACAAGTGAAAAAAACATACCATGTGCTAATAAAGCACCATATAGATATTCTATCCTATACCAGAACGTCAGAGTTGGTGGCTTGGTGTAATATGGATTAAACTTCTCTATCAGATGGTATATTACCCCGGCTGTAATCAATGCCGCTCCGATACAAGCTAAAACGCCGAGTGTAAACGGTTTTAGCAACGTCTGCCATTTCTCGTCTTCTGGGTTATTACGGAGTTTGAACATGGCCACCCCATGGTTGAAGAGATAGGGGAATGTGAAATCCATGACGTCCTCTCTTTCTTTAGAGATACCTATAGCAGCTACCATCAGGTCAGCCTCCTGTAAGGGACAACCACCGATATCTATCAAATATCAGAAATAAGGAAGCATCCCTTATAACTTATTATTTTGTTAATGACGCAAATGAGAGAAGAAGTACGCCTGCATTTAATCATATATGACAATCGACGCTCAAGTTGACCTCCGGTCATTTGCACCTTTTTACCAAGGTCTTCATGGCAGAAGAAATGCGTCTCGTATTTCGGATGGAATGGGCGTTTTCTACAGATTGTGAACGTTGAAGATCCATCGACATTTTGAATTGAAAATAAAGGAAGGTTAAGCTTGGAAATTGAAAGAGGGTAGACCTTGGCAAACCCTTTCGGACCCTTTACCATGATATATGGTTATGATCCACCTTCACAATGTGAACTGTAGTACAAACCTTCCGGACTAAACACCCAATCAACCCAGTCCAGTTGCCTCGATCATTCAACCCCCACTGACCGTCTGGAGACAGACGTATGGTGTAGCTGAAACGGCATGAAACAAGATGAATTATATGAGAACTCTCTAAAATTTGACAGGCCGGAGTTTTATTTAGTGCCCCAGGATGATTATTCTTTCAATGACGTCTGCTCCCGTTCTTAAAATAGGTTGTCAAGAGCTTTGGCATCAAAAAATCGATTTGCACCATTCCAATTTTCAGCCAGACGTTTGTGGTTCAATAAATATGCGTTCTTAAAGGGCTTGTAAAGAAGTTTGAACTTTTTATGTGAATCTTGAACACTGATAGCATCAATTTGTACCATTCTGATTTTCAATCAGACGTCTGTGGTTCCTGCAATTCCTCTCAAACTAAGCGTTGTCTAACGTAGCTATTGAAATGGTCCTTAGATGTTAAAAGCAGCTTTTGCAATAGAGACGTCGTATACGGTAAATTAGTATTTCTATATTTACAGAAACCACAGACGTCTGACCGAAATTGGATTGATCCAAATCGATTCTCTCAGTTTCCCAAACACATATAAAAAGTTTAGGAAACCTAATAAATAACGAAGTCTTGTTCGTGGATAAACCAACAGGATTACTAGCTAATGCTATTTTAATCTGTTTATGAAACTGATTAAGGTTACCTGAAATTAAGAGTCTGGGAGATTATTTCTAATAACTCAATACATAATCCATCGAATACCGTCTCGTTCTTTCTTATCGTATACGGCGGCCACTGAAATGAATATTTACGTTTTACTGCTATTAGTCTAAAACAATATTCACTCTTTTGTTTTTCTTATTGGAGTGTCAATGGAATTTTACGTGCAACTTTTGTAGACAAATAATGATGGCCAGTGAAAAACGAAACTGTAGAACATAAATAAAGCAAATACATGGGGGACACGGGTCGGAATGGGAGGAAGCGAAAACAAGTAAAAAAAAAACGGGCATGACACTATGTGGACACGATGGGCATTTTCCATAGATAATCCCGCCCCTGCTCCGTACACTGTCTCTTTTTATCTGCATCTTAAGATACGCTAGGCACGACATTATATTTCAACTCAATTACGTTTCAGTTCTGTACGAAACCTTGCCCAATAAAAGACATAAATTACAAATTTTATCGGACATATTATTTTACAGAAATATAGTTTTAGTATCATATTTGCTCTATTAGAAACCTTGACTAACATGAGACATAAATTACAATTTTTATCGTAGATTAAAGATTAAAACAATTCAAGACATCCTATCTGTAAATCAATATAGAAAATAAACAGTGGTTAAAAACTCACTATTTTAGTAACTACTCTAAACACTCGACCATTTAATCCCTGATTAACATTGGGAAATAGAGCTTCCGGATTAATGATGTGCCTCTCCAACCATCGACAAGAGAACTCTCGTCTCCTTCCCTCTCGCCACATTAGAGAATGTATACAAAAAGGTTCCTAGAAAGAAATAAGAACGTTGCAAGAGTTATAACTTTTGGTTTTTGCCATTCCACTATTTAAGTAGCTCAAGCGGTAATGATGGTTATTCTTGTGGAATTTCAAGGACGTGCCTAATCCGAGAAACTAGAACGCTATCTACAGACACCCACTTACTTTGATTTTGTATTTGTCTGGAAGAGGGTCAGATACAAATGTATCCTTTTTGTAGACAACAGCGCAAGTAGAAATATGTTTATTATATCAAAACAGGCACATCAATCACAAAAACATAACAGTTAATATTATTTGTGCATTGCACCATTACCTAGTTTTAGATTTTTACAAGAATAAGGCCATAAACAATTCCACTTACGTCTGATCCTTATGCTTACCGTTAAAGATTGATTTAGGTCAATAACAGTCACGTGATCTAAATGCACGTGTAATTGTCTATCGTGTATCCATTGGTAAGTAAATATGAGCCATCTGGATCTGTGTTTAAATGATGTAAAACTGTCTGTAGCCTTCTCGTATTCATTTCCCTTAAAATATGTTTCATAAAAAAGTTATGGAAAATATAAGAAGTATATATATATAATACACTAGTACATACATGGACATTTATGATTGGTTAAAACTCATAATTACACGCAATAAGAACATAATGATATGATTAAGAATACCCGATAATTCATTAGAAACACCAATTAATCAAATAGTTTGCTTAATTTGACACTAAAAAATAAGGAAACCTATCTTTAATATGTGACCTATATATCTTTTTTACCTGATTTAAAACTTCATTAATACAATCTTCAGAACAGATGAGGAGAACATTAAACTCGAGTAGATTACGGCTGGTATCCATCTGACTAAAGATGGTAGATAGGTCCGTATCCGGCCTGTATTCTTTCTCTATTGTCATCAACTCATCTGGTAGAGATAAATCATTGAACCATTGAACTAAAAATTGTAAAATAAACCGGTATCAAATATACATTTTTGTCTTTTGGACTCTCGAAAAGGGATGCAGAGTTAATACAGTTGCTTTTACCACTATTACAGTTGCAAAGTGTGAATAGTTAATTATACTTGATTTGTTAAAAGATGGCAATAAAAAAAAAACGGACGAAGCTGACAAAACTCAATCAGGAACAACACGATCATGAAATAAAAATAACATTCTTACCTGATTCTTGGTCGTAAATAATCAAAATGGAAACCCAATTTATGGCTTTGATAACCTCTAAAATCATGTTTACTTCTTGGCTAGTAAATAATCCAATAAAGGCTCATTCGTCTCACTGAAAAATATAAATTGTTGACCATTTCCTCAGTTCAAATTACAAAAAGTAAAATACCCATAGAAAAACATTAATCACAGTTATATATTACTTATTAGCCTTGAAATAACATCCAAATTTTGGTCTACAGAAATTCTGAAATTGACAAACCTGTGAAGATGTCGACACGTTTATAATGTTTCTTTTTTGCAATGTCATAACTAAAAGAACATGGATGCTAACTCAATTCGAATTGAATGTCAACGCCGAGAATATTTTACAGTACAAACTTTCTCAAAAACAATATAACATTTCATGAGGGTGTATAACAACAGGATCAAAATTCAGCAACTTGCCGACAGGATCATCACCTAGACGTGCAATATATGCTTCAGCGAAGTTATAAAAACCTACCTCATACGAGTGGAATACAGAGTCACTGAAAGTGATTGTTTCTTCAATCAGAATCACAAACTCAACAGAATCCAAATTCATCACCATCAATAACTCATAAATTCCGAGATTCGGTCAAGGTGAATTCTGTCAAAACTGTTCAACCATCCAGAAGTCCTAATCGTGAATCAAAATCCATAGATGTCACTGGTAAACATGAGTTGGTGAACAAACAAATAACGATGCGTTTCCTGAAAGCTTCGAACTGCTTTTGATCTGGAAACCTACTTCCTGAATCAAAAGGAGATCATTTGTCTATCATTCAACAGTAGTTCAGACATTACCCAAACCAATCGTTTCTTAATTGCCCCATTAAAAGATAGAACTTGTTAGAAGACATGTATCGTTAATCAATATTCCGATTTGTTCATTATCTTTCTGTGTATTAGTATCATGAAACTATAAAATAATCACGTGTTGATAAATTGTTTAATATGTTTCTGTCCATTATATCTTGTTTCGTCATATCGACCTATTTGTTTCTCAACCTTCCTCTGAATTTTACGAATCTTCTGTTACATTTAATGAGACCAGATTCAGAATTTCATTTGCTATTATTATTTTTTTCACACATATTGTGTCCATTGATTCGGTCTTGTCATTCACACAAGAGTATCCACCATGTTTCCAGCGAGACCCGACATGCTTTTGAAACTTCAGAACCACATCCGAGGATAGCTGCTCATTTTATTTCCCTCAAATAAAATTTCCGGAAATCGACAAGAATATTAATACAGTATCTGTGTTTAGATGACGAAGGCTCGTATACAAGTCCTAGATCAGAAAGTTGCAAATAACGTTTGTGGATTTCAACAAGGCCTTTGATTCGATTCCGTTACATTAATGATGATTTATACTTCAGACAAACCTTCGAAGAATTCACATTGATGTTTCATACAGTCCTGCATGATGAATAAAAATAAACAATCACTTTTATTAAAGTTGTATATTGATTTATATTGTATTGAAGTATTGAACACAATATTGGTTTTTAAACAATATTATTTTCGGTAGACTTGTTTCGCTTTGATTTGCAGAAAAATATGTTTCCTATCTACTGGTTGTTGTTGTTGTGAATTGCGAGTGTTCTTTCCAAAGTTAACAAAAACACGGCAGTTAAATGCATTGTAAAAGGTTTCGACTGGTAAAAGCAAAAATTCTTGGCTTCTTCGGGGATTGTTTTTAAAAATTTGCTCAACTATGCAAAATTTCCGCAAAAAAGCCGCATTTTGAATTTCGGCCTCGACAATTGTCCACCCCACCCTCTCCCCTCTCCCTCATTTTACCAGTCTGCGGAGATTGGCACCGCCATTGTGCCCCCCGCTCAAGCCTTTACCACTGTGGTTCCAGTTCTGTTAATGATGAAATGTAACACTACACTATGAGAAAACGTTTTCAGTACTTTAATGATTCTAAGGATGTTTTCTCGAGATGTGTTTACTCTGATTTCAGTTCAGATAAACTTAGAAGCATGATTTAGAATTTGTGTAATGTGAATTGTGTATTTAATATAAATATTTAGATAAAAGAATATAAATTATAAAGAAATATTGAACTTTCTTTCATGATAAAAAGAGATTGTAAAGAGGCTGCCTAAAAATTTTATGTGTGTCTGGAACACTGACTTGCACCATTCAAATTTCAATCAGACGTCTGTGGTTCCCACAACTCCACTAAAACATGGTGTTTGATGTCGTCGCTGATACCGAACGCCATAGGTGATGTAACATATTTCGCGATTAGCACGTTTTAGTGCAATTGTAGGAACCACAGATGTCTGATTGGAATTCGGAATAGTGCAAATTGATGCTATCAGTGTCCCCAATACACATAAACAGTTTAGAAATAATAGGTTATAGTCAAGTTTCGATATATATTAATAAGTCTTAAACTTTAACTGTGCTTTTGGCAGAATTTTGGCATAATGGTCTTTTGTAATATGACACTGATCTGTTACATATCATCAATACATATTATATATATAAACATGTATATTATATAACAAAACACAACCCTTATCGATATCATCTTCACAATGCCAAGGAATTACAGAGATACTCTAATGTCTTGACATTATGCTTTCTTGTATCACGGAATGCAGTTACATGCTTGGATCGTTGGCCAGGGAATACAGCCAATCAGAGCACCCCCCCCCCCCCCCCGAAAGTCAGTTGCTTATTGCTTATTGTCCAGTTGCTTATTGTCCAGGACACTGAGGGTTGTATTCGCTAGCGTACAATCCACTTAAATCGAAACTTAATTGATACAAGAAAGGTTGCTATTTCAGTTGCAGATGTATTAGACGTAGTTTATAATAGCTTGAGATGTTGAAGATGAATCGATATGTGATTGATTAGTTTTTGCAATCAATCTGTTTCATGTCGTCTCACATTTCAGTTCAATATGCCAATATAAGATTGTATAAATACAATTATTCACAAAGAATGTATTTTATTAAACCTACTACTGCATGCTATCTGAAACCGGAAGTTGACATTGGATACCTTTAATAGTTATATAATCAATGGGACCTTTACGTTGATCTTTAAAGAAAATTATTAGGCAAATATATTTATATATGTATATTTCGAGGACAGACACGCCCATCAACCTTCAATTCGATTTCGGTACCTTTAACACCTTAGAAACGTCTCATCTAGAAACAAAACTCAATTTTTACTTTTCAAAGTCAAAAAGTACCGTCAAAGTCAGGCTGTTTCATAATCATCTTTAATCATCAAGGGCCACAAACTGACAATGTAGAAATTTAATATTTCATGGTCTTCGGTAGCAAACGGTCCATCGTGAAAGTTAAGATATCGCTCTGCAACATATCACAGTAATGAATGGAAGCCATAGTTGTCCGAACCAAGCCAATAGTCATGTGATCATGTGATTCTTGTAGATAGAGGCTGGTAGTTCGGGACTACAAGTATATGTAAACACAATCAATGAAACCAAAATATTCGATAGATATGGATTTAAAATAATATAATGTATCATTGGATAACCAAAAGTCACAATATAGCATTAAATACATAAGTAACTTTTATGTTCATCTCCAAAGGCTCCAAATTATGGACTATATATATGAACGCAGTATCACTACTATCACTGCTAACTACCGAAAGTAAAGAGTTCCGCCCAAGAAAACATTCATTACCGAGGCAGGTTCAGCTTTACGGAAACTACCGAGGATTGCCGAATACTTTGGTAGCTGATGAAGAGTTACTATCAGGGCATGCCAATAAAGAAACTTAATATTCTTTTCAATAATTTATAGATTCGAGAGAAATTAAAACGTTTGTTCAAATATTTGGAAAGAAAATATATGATATAAGTATTTTTTTTTATTTTTTAAGTAAATATCTTGTGATACTTTACATTCATTCATGAAGGAAGAAACCAAATACAGCAATCTCTTTCAGAGAGTCCACATAGCTCAATGCCACAACAGCAGTTTCAGAGATTTTGGGTACTTTGTTTTGTTAAGAGTACAGACCGTCGTCGGTTAGACCATTAGAATCTTGAAATTATAACCTTGGTAACATCGAATTAATGGTGGTACTTGTGGGTTCTAATTTTGATTCGGCGAGTGAATTGCTGGTGGACTTCAATAGTATATATTTCCCTATTCCGGTAGATCTAGCTGTAAATGGGTACTTTACTAATAATCCAAGAGCATCTGTGATTTGTTTAGTCATCACCGAGGTCAATCTACTTAAGATAAGATTAAAATTTCGTATCATTTTCGTTGAATATATCAGAAAACATAAAATACATTGTATTGTTATACATGTACATGTATTGTTATTATTAAATAATATCTCAAAATATCAACTTGTCATTCTTAGCTGGGTAAACCATACCTCTATTAAGCACCACCCCTTAGTAAGCAGCCACTTTTGAGCATTCCTTCCCTTGACTGGCTGCTTAATACAAGTTAGACTGTACGCCAAATTGTAAACGTTTCGACGATGTTTTACTCTGCTTTATCACCATTTGTAGATATAAACGAGAGTATCATTGTCGAAACTTTGCACAAAATTTATAGAAGTAATTGTTACCAATATAATTTTGACCATATAAATAATATTGCTCTCCTTTACACGACCAAATCAGATAACAATATTAGCAGAACACACAGTAGTGTCTGAATCACGCCCTGAGTAATAATATCGATGATATTTGAATAATGCTAATTGACTATATTTTGTAACGAGAAATAAACAGAAGAAAAGACCATTAAGATTAGTAATAATCCCGTTTCGTTATATCATTATCTGTTTTATATTTGCTTATCTTATATCTGTTACAAATCAGACACATATCTCTGAAAAAAAAAACAGATCGACCGACCAATATTATCACTACAACTAAACATCAAACTCTATAGCTCCTCCGGTTACATTACTTGCCTCTCCGAACAATCAAGTCTGGGTACTGCCTGCAGCAAATATTATTCTGCAGTTCGGGCACACCAGGAAGGAGACGCGAGATCACAACTTACAGCTGTAAATGAATATGGATAAGTTTTGAAAGATCAATGCCATAAGGTTTGGCCAAGAACCAGTTGGTAGTAAGGATACATAATTGCTAACTTAAGTCGCTATCCTTGTAAAATACAGTTGCTTTCATATTTTTTGTCTTTCTTTCTCTGATCTTGGAGAACTCAGATGGTGTTTAAAAGGTGAACGAGTGGATATGGATAACTATAAGGTATATAAAAAACGAGGATAAATATCAATTTTTAATTCCCATTATAAACAATTAGAAGGAACAATAGTTATTTTCCTTCAGAATATAAAATATTATAATATACAAATACAAAATAAATATACAAAATATGATATTGATATCTTAATGAAATAACCAACTTATTGGTCCTGACCGATAAAATATAATCCTTCATACCTAAGTTAATAAAACTCAGGATTAGTATTCCCAGAAATTGTCTTCCGTTATTTCTGCTAGGAGATTAGGTGTCATGGGTTCGAATCCTCCTCAAGGTAAGAAATAATCTGTGCTTGTGCTTCCTAGAGTCGGTCCGCTTTCGGCTTTCGATTTTGGTTAAAGATTAATTTGGTAACAGTTTTAAAGAACAATTCAACAATTCCTTTTTGAAAATAGTGTCTATTAGCAAACACTTAACATTGAAATAGGAGTACATGTGTCCAAAATCTACGAGTGAAAATGTTGTAAGAATTATATTTTCAAGCATCAAGTCTTTAGTGACTTTACATAAAGATGTAATTGTTACCGTTTCGAAGTTTTATTCTTTGAAAGGAATCCGAAATATTTTTAAAATCTACATCCGAACACATAGCTTTGTTAACCATCTTACTGTTCTATTTGGACGACAACTGAAAGAAGTCGGTGGATATTATCATAAATTGTCGAAAGAAGACGTCAAGATAAAATGGTGGTTATTGCTAAAGTGTATATAACCCATCACTATACAGTTTATATACAATATAAATATACAATGATCAATGACATTATGCTTTACATGGCAAGTTACTGCCCTTGTTCTCTCATACTATCCACCGCTATATGACACCGAATATATATATGTTCATATACATGGATGATAATAATAAAAACGTATAAAATTATATAAATTAGTAATACTTCAAGGGTCCCTTTTTATGATACGCAATCGTAGCGTCACCTTCAATGTCCAAGTAATATTGTGCCCGCAATAGTATAAAGTTTGTGTTTACATCACGAATGACGTCACTAGTAAAGCGGGCACCTGTTTGAGATGACGTCACTAAAATTACTTAAACGGTAACGTATCGTTAGTTTATCGACGTAAATATTTTAGGATATACAGGATTCGGCTCCAGGCCAGTCACAGATTTTTAAATGGTCGTTCCAGACTGTACCTTGTCCACATGTATGATGG